ATGAACATGGAAACTACATACAGAATCCGGTACAGAGCGGTTGGGGGTTAGCTTTTGGTACCACACTCACATTTGTAAGGTCGTGTAGACTTTGCCTAAGGTATTACAGTTCCTTTATACGGCTAGCGATCGGCAATATAGCTACTTAGCTAGCTACTACTACTAGTTGTATCATGGTTATTGGTATTGGACTACTGTAAAGCTTGGTTTGAAAGCAAGAGGGCACTAAGTGCTCACACCAACCAATCTCGGAGTTGCATTGCAGCAGGCAGAATGCACTTGGCATTGGCAAAGCAACAAGAAGTACTAGTACTAGGAGAAAAAGGGACATGACTACTGCAGGGCTTGGTGCCACTGACACTGGAAGACCCGCTAAAGCACCACGGCAAATTAGAAGATCTGCAGGAGAGGAGAGAGGCACATCGAGTCAAATGCCAGCCATTCCACAAGATATGGTGGAGGAAGATCAAATTGCTTGGGCATGCAAGATGGTGGTGGTATTGGTTCCGAAAGCGAGGAAGACAATAGAAAACCAGCAGCTGACCCGCGGTTTGGTAACCGAGATGACGGCAATGAGAAGCAAAAGAGGAGGCAGATGAGGAAGCCATAGAGGAAACTGATGAGGAAGGAAGTGACGACGATTCGCAAGAAGAACAGATGATGATGATAGTTATGAAGATGATGATGAGACAGCAGTGGTGGATCAACAGCTACCCTGGTACAAATTCCCAAGGAATGGAACCATGACAATGAACCTCCAGACGATAGAGAACATCAACCAATTCCGGCAATATTGTGCAGATTCAAAGAAGACATTCCTCCCCTTGGATAAGAACAGGCTCGGGGTGTCAAATGATGGATATCCTTCGAAAGAACAAGGCCCTTTGACTGCGTATGATGATGTGTTGACATGGCACTTGGATGAAACTGGGCCCGATTGGGTGACGAGAAGCTTGGTGAGGTTCCGGAGTACTTGAGCCGGAAAAAGTTGATGAGCTTCCTCATGAAAGATACAACAGGGTGGCAAATTCCCTTTCACAAAAGACCTTGTGCTTCCACATTCAGGTGCTAACACAAGGTGGTGTGCCACGAGCTCGCCATTGTGGTGGCAATTGATTGCCGACCACGCCTCAAGGACGACGATTTCTGCTTTTTCGATAACAATCCACTAGCTCCACCACCTAAACGAGTACCAAAATCAATCAGTTGAACACTGGTGAGCGTACCGCAATTGTTACAAGCATACGTTACCAATCCCGAAAGCAAATGGGAATCGCATCCAATGGTATATTGAGGGGCAGTGACTGGCCAGTTCCAAACCTTTCGATAACTGCGCTGAAGATGTCTCTCTCTTGTTTCTCCTGGAATATCGAAGGAAGGATCAGGCATGGGCAACTCTTGGATATGTTGTCAACTACTCGGCAGGCAAATCACAAGGAAAGAAAGATATTTGCCGACTCAAACCATGATCAAGCAGTTCTGGATTTCCTGAATTTCGAAGGTTTACTTCCCAATGAGGGGGGTAGACAAACAAAAGTCGTGAAGGCACAGGAATTCCATCACCAACTTGATACACATCTTGCACTCTTACGTAACCATCCAAACAACTGGGATGATATGGATCTCCATTACAGAGGAAAGCTCTACCGAAACCTCAAGCTTGTGTATGCATTTGTACGTGTCTTTACGGTGAGATCGGTAGCTCGATGAGACCGTGAGGTGCTTCTGGTGTGAAATGCTATATCGTAAGTGGCAGTGGATAGCCGGTTGGCAATGTTAAGATGATTTGTCGATACTGCAACGTTCCAACTCTTGACTGCAACACACGTTGATACTTACACAGCAAAGACACTGACAATCATCCAAGAACTCATCGACGCCAAGGATAAGAAAGGATTGCAAGCAATTTCCCAGCATCTGATTGACAATGCATGGAATAAGGTCAGATTCGACCAAGTACGATACTGGAATCCATGGTGCTTGCCCCTCTGAGATGCTCCACGCCATGTTGTTGGGTATCTTTTTGTATACGAGAGAGAGCTCTCTTTGCCCAGATTGGCCCAACTCATCAGGAGCCAAGGAGATTGATGCATTGGCATCAAAATATGGGCAACTCTTCAAATTCTCTGAACGGAGCATCCCAGAATGCAAGTTCACCCATGGAATCAATAAGGCAGAAGAAGAAGCTGATGGCTACGAGTACCGTGGCGTTTTGCTACTCATCGCTGCTGTATTGAGATCCACCAAGGTATCGAAATACTAAGGAAAAGCCACTTTTCTGACCTTACATTTCGAGACACCACAGCCTCCGAAAGGACTGGTTGAGGCTGGTGGAGATGCTCTTGGAATGGGAGGCATCCTGAATGAACCAGAGATGGATGTAAAAACAGTCAAGCGCTTGAAGAAGAAACATCGCTTCATCATGTACCTATTGAAGAAAGTGTTGAGGAAGAAACAGGAATGGGTTTGAAATTATGAAGTTTCACGCGATAATGCCATGGCAAATGATATCTTTGTATGGCGTACCTAAGGAACACGACACTGATCTAATGAAAGTGGCCACAAAGTGACCAAAGTGGCAGCACGGCTCACCCAAAAGAACATGGCAACCTTCGAATTGCAGAAGCACCCGGTTGCTTGAATTTATGGTCATTCAGTGGGCAATGGCTGAGTGGATGGTCTTCGATTGTGGGACGAGCGCAGACAAGCTGCGCTGCCAGAGCAGCTAGACAGACTAGTAGAGGATTAGTGAGTGGAGAGACTCGGCCATTTACTGAGCGACCGTCTCCAGTCCCCGGGGTGCCATTCGGGACTGGGGAGTCCCGGATGGATCCCACACACAAAAGGGAGTCCCGGGAATGTGATGTTCCACGGACAGCCTTGAGTCGTGCACCAGGGAGGGAGAGGTGGTTAATCTAATCTAGGTTCTTACCTTCAGCGTCGGCTGAATGAAGATTGTGAGCTGAGAGAGAGAACAACCTTCTTGCGATCGGCAGTTCAATGCTGGTCTTGGCTAGGTCGCTGGCTTTAGTGATTCATGGTGCGCTGTCGATCTTGCCAAATGTGGTTTGGACGGGCGTCGTTGCCTTAAGGGTAATCTTGTTCAGAGGCATTGAGGCTGATGCGGTGCATCATCATGTGGGGTATCCATTTCCGGAACGCAGGTGATGACTGCGAGATGTAGAGATGTACTTGAGTTGTAGGTGAGGAGTGCGGGAATTAATTTTGCAATTGTGAGATGGTCCTCTCGGCAACATGATTAGGGTCATAGTTGCAGAACCCATCAGGGTTCAAGTTTCCACGCTGCGGGGCGTGGAAACTCGGACGGGGGTTCCCAGGCGTGTTGCTGCTCAACACCGAGCGCAGACAGCTGGCTCGCCCAGAGCACTAGACACGACTAGTAGAGGATTAGGTGAGTGGAGAGACTGCCATTTACTGAGCCGACCTCTCCAGCCCCGGGGTCCATTGGGACTGGGGAGTCCCGATGGATCCCACACGCAAAAGGGAGTCCCGGGAATGTGATGTCCACGGGACAGCCTTGAGTCGTGCAACCCAAAAGCCAAAGCAGAACAGGGGGGAGCGAGCGGGGTGGGAGAAGTTACCCCTGTCCAGGTGGAGGCGAGGACAGGGGGCCGGGACTAGGTAGGTTAGTCCTCGTCGATGAGATCCAGTCAGGGTAGATGCACAAAGAGCTGGCTGGAGTGGAGAAGCTCTGCTTGGAGCCTCACTCCTCTGACAGTGGGAATGGGCCAGCCCAAAGCTGGCTGCCGCTGATTCAATCTCCACAGCAATGATTGAACAACTCACTCTTTGCCTTGGACAATCCACACAGGAAGGCTTCACTGTGGGGAAACTAGTGCTACGAGGCTGTATCTGGTCAACTCCTTTCATTACTTCTTTTCTTTAAACTAGCAAAATCAACTGAACACAAAATCCTCGACAGCACTCAGCCATGCAGCTTTGGCTTCTTGCATCTCATTTGGCTGGTGCTGGCAAGCTAACTTTCTATATTGGTCTTGGCTAAGAACTGCATCATCCTTGGGTATATGAGTTCCTCAGCTATTTCTGTATTGCCAGATGGCTGCATGCTGACCTACTGTTGGAGTATACAGATGTCACAGCGATTCTTCCACCTGCTAAACCAGCACAGCTGCTCGCACCCAAATGGTTCATGGATATCTCATCTCTCCCCACCATGTGATGTGTCCATGGTGGTGTCTAGGAGATCAGCTGTGTTCTCCTTGCCAGAACAGAACTGCTTCAGAATGGGCCATATCTGGGAGTAACCCCAGTGTTTCGTCAGGATGTCTGCGGGTTGATTGCTCCCGGTAGATGATGAAACGAGATGGTCCCTGCGGCAATGGCTTCTCTGACGAAGTGTAGGAGAGGGCGTGATGTCTCTCCTTGAGGGGCGAATGGGGCTGGGTGGAACTGTCACCACAGACCCATTGTCCCAAACATGTATGTTGCCCCTTTACCTCCACACCAAGATACCTGAGTGTAACTCTGGCTGCAATTGGCCTGTTGGGTGGCAACCTAGCAGCAACAACTCAGAGCCGTATGTGGCTGCTTCCACATGTAGCTTGCTTCTTGCAGTACCATTCGAATGGGTCTGGTTCACATAGTGCAGTACACCAGTGACTGTTGATCTGGAACTAGGACCCTTAAGTCTTTAGGTCCTGTCCCAGATCCCAGTCACTATTAATGCAAGCAAGCCCACTAGTAGCCCACCCTGCTTGCAATCCCAGAAGCAGGGTAGCCAAAACCGTTAGCAGCTGTTAGAGTTGGCACTCCCCAGCTGGGCCTGTGTGCTCCAGTTTGGGACAAGTATCTAGCTCATAATTGTTAATAACTATCTTTTACTAACAATTCTTCACTAGGCTTCCTGCCTGGATCAACAGTTATTAACAATCTAACTGAATCGACACCTCTCCACACCGGAAGAGCAACAGCAAAAGCACATCGCTACACCGCTGCAGTCAACCAACCAACACACCACCATGTCCCCCACTACACCATCCGACCACTTCACCAAGGAGACATTGACGTCCATCCCACCTGATGAAAAGCCTACTTACGCCACCCTCAAAATTATTCATCAAGAGATGAACGCCAATGCCATGGCTATTCCATCCACCAATGGAGGAGGACATTACGGCCACCTAGCCCTAGTCATTCCAGCCGCTGCATTCACAGCTCTCCCCAATGCCATTGCATGGGTTGCTCCAATCCATCCAGGAGAATCACCCATTCATGGAGTAGCACCAACTGCAGCACAGATATCTGAAAACAACAGAGTTTATGAAGCCAACGAAAAGAAATTTCTCACCTACAAAGCCACCGAAACTGCACTCAAGAAGCAGCTCCTCGAAGCCATTCCTGAAACCTTCATCAAATCATTGAAGCACGAAATGTATGGATATGCCCAAATCACCACACTAGAACTCCTCACACACTTGGACACTACATATGGCAACGTCAATGCCGATGATTTGGAGGACAACATGAAAAGAATGCATGCACAATGGAGCCCAACCCAATCCATCGAAGATCTCTACAACCAATTGAAGGATGCACAGAAATTCGCAGCCGACCACGATACCATCTCTGACAAAATGGCAGTACGAGCTGCTATTAAAAACCTCACCAACAGTGGCGTTTTCACCGATGCCATCAAGGACTGGAGGAAGAAACCAGACAATGATCAGACCATGGCCGCGCTTCAAACCCACTTCACGGAAGCCGACAAAGAACGACGCCGCATCCTCACAAGCAAGGAAGTCGGATATGCGAACAAAGCAGCCGCAAAACAGCCAGCAAATGACAAGGCCAATATCATCATGAACGGCAGTGGTACAGTAATGTATTACTGCTGGACACATGGCCTCGGACCCAACAGCAATCACACCAGCAGGGATTGCACCAAGAAAGCTCCTGGACACCGCAGTGAAGCAACCGGAGACGACATGTTAGGAGGATGCTGCATTATCCGACGCAAAGCAGGAGAACGAGCTGTGTATCGTCGTCCCCAGCGCCAGGAACGTGAAAACGACGAAAACACGCCTCCAGCCAATCGCACCTGAGCAAGACGGGAGCCACAATCAATGGTACAACAACAACAACCAGCCCAATCTAGTAGCACAGCAGTTAAAAAACATAATATAGATTCGGACCTGTTAACAGAAAACATACCACCGAATGGTCCCCCACAGCACAAATAGACGCAACGGCATCAGCAAACAGCGCCTCAACACCTCTCATTGCAGATACAGGCAGCACCGGACACTTCTTATCCACGGACTTCATAGCCATAGGCAATGAAGACATTACAGATATCCAACCCACAAACAGCCCCATACGGGTAACACTCCCAGACAACACCGTCATTCTTTCTTCCCATACATGCCATCTCGACATTCCCAATTTACCCAAGCAAGCAACCCAAGCACATCTATTCCCCACTCTGGGCAACACATCCCTTTTATCCATCGGCAAGCTCTGTGACGCAGGATGCGAGGCACTCTTCCGCGCAAACGAATGCATCATTTCCTTCATGGGAGATACCATCCTTACAGGTACACGCAACCCAGAAACAAACCACCTTTGGGAAATCGAACTCGATCAAACTACAAAAACACCACACCAAGCCAATCTAATGGCAACCACGCCTACAGCCACACCAGCTGACCTAGTCGCATTTACACATGCAGCCCTCTTCTCGCCCGTACCATCAACGCTACAAAAGGCTCTCAACAAAGGGTACATCAACAACTTCCCAGGACTGACACGTGAAACATTCGCTAAGTACACACCACACTCCATCGCCACGGCCAAAGGACACATGAACCAGCAAAGGCAAGGAATCCAATCCACAAAAACGGAACAGGAACCCCTACCACTACTGCCCGAACCAACCACCGATGCATTCCCCGATCAGGAAGAACAACGCGACAACCCACAACAACAGGCATGTTTCGCCGCTATTATGCAACCATCCGGCAAATCCTTCTCGGATCAGACCGGCCGCTTTTTTATACCTTCCAGCACCGGCAACAACTACTTATTCATCTTATACCACTATGACAGCAACTCCATTCACGCAGAACCTATGCAAACGAAGACAGCACAAGCACACGTCAGAGCATGGACCACCATCCACAACAAGCTAGTCCGAGCCGGACTTCGCCCGAAACTCCACATGCTGGACAACGAGTGCTCGCAACTACTGAAAGAACACATGTACGCGGAAGGAATCAAGCTCCAAACAACACCCGCGGGTATTCATCGAAGGAACGCGGCTGAAAGAGCCATTCAAACCTACAAGAACCATTTGATTGCAGGATTATGCACTACCGACAGCAACTTCCCCCTCCATCTGTGGGACAGACTCATCCCACAGTGCACAATCACGCTCAATCTGCTCAGAGGATCCAGAATCAATCCAGCCTTATCCGCTCATGCCCAAGTATTTGGCAACTATGACTTCACAGCCACACCCATTGCACCGCCTGGCATCCATGTGGTGGTACACGAAAAACCAAAAGAAAGAGGCACATGGTCCCCAAAAGGCAAAGATGGCTGGTATATAGGTCCCGAACTAGAGGCATACCGATGCTTTCGAACGTGGATATGGGATACCCAAAGAGAACGAAAAGCAGACACATTATCATGGTTCCCAGAGCGATTGCAGATGCCACTCCCAACACCCATCCAAATGGCAATAGGAGGCCTCCGCGACATAGCCACGGCACTCCAGCAACCACACACCGTTCCCGCGGCACAAACACTCACCGACAGTGAAGCAGCAACGCTACTCGATTTAGCCCACATCTTCGACAACCGGTTATGCGAACCACAAACGACAGATACAATCAACAGCCACATCGACAAAACCCTTGGAGACATCACAGAACCAAATGCCAGCTCCCGTGGCCCACTTCTGAGGGTGCCCGAAGACGGACCAACGTTCGCGTCAACCACCACCAGCAAAGGAAAGCGACGCAACAAACCAACGCCAACACCACACATTGAACATCGAGCCAATCAAGCTATCAACCCCGACACCGGCATCTTATCCGACTACAAAGTACTCAAACAATCCACCGATGGCCATCATTGGATCAATGCATGCAGCAACGAAATGGGCCGCTTAGCACAAGGACGCGCATCCACAGGCCTACAAGGAACCGACACCATCAAGTTCATCCCACACACACAGGTACCAGCTGGACGCAAAGCAACATACCTCCGAGTGGTATGCGATGACCGCCCACAAAAGAAGGAAATCCGACGTGTTAGGTTTATAGTTGGAGGAGACCGCATTGAATACCCATTTGATGTTAGCACCAAAACAGCCTCCCTCAACACAGTCAAGATGAACCTCAACAGTGTGGTATCAACACCGGATGCCAAGTTCATGTCCATCGACATTAAAGACTTCTACTTATGCACTCCAATGGAACGACCTGAATACATGAGAATACCGGTGGACATCATTCCCGATGAAATAATGGAGCAATACAACCTCCATGGGCTTGTCCACAACGGATACGTCATGGTGGAGATTAACCACGGCATGTACGGGCTTCCACAAGCAGGACGCATAGCCAATGACGCACTAGTGGAACACCTCGACCAACATGGCTACACACAGTCGCGCCACATCCACGGACTATTCAAACATAGCCACCGACCAGTCACTTTCACGCTAGTCGTTGACGACTTTGGGGTCAAATATGTCGGCAAAGACAATGCGCAACATCTCATCGACACACTAGCAGCAGCATACAAGATCACCACCGACTGGGACGGCGCTCTCTACTGTGGCATAACCTTGGATTGGGACTACAATGCACGCACTGTGGACCTGTCAATGCCAGGGTATGTCCAACGAGCCCTCCAAAGGTTCAACCATGTAAAGCCAGCTCACCCCCAACATGCACCACACAAATGGAACATCCCACAGTATGGGCAGCCAATCCAATACACAGAGCCCCTCGATAACACCACTCCACTCTCGTCCAAAGCAATCAAGCATGTCCAAGAGGTTGTGGGCGTCCTACTGTACTACGCGCGAGCTGTAGACAGCACAATGCTCGTAGCCCTAGGGGATATTGCAGCAGAACAAACGCAGGGTACAGAAAAAACCATGCAAGCAACAGTCATGCTATTAAACTACGCAGCAACCCATCCAGATGCAATACTCCGCTACCACAAGAGCGACATGGTCCTCCACCTCCATTCCGATGCCTCGTACCTGTCAGCCCCAAAGGCACGCTCCAGAGCCGGCGGATACTTCTTCCTGAGCAATGGGCAAACCCAAGATGCACCAAACAATGGAGCCGTCCATGTGGTAGCCAAAATAATGAAAAATGTACTCGGATCTGCAGCAGAAGCAGAGGTCGGAGCAGCATTCAACAACGCCCAGGAAGCATGTCCCCTCCGACAAACGCTCATTGAAATGGGCCATCCGCAACCAGCCACACCCATCCAAACCGACAACAAATGTGCAGAAGGAATCCTCGCCGGAACAGTCAAACAGAAGAAATCTAAGGCCATCGACATGCGATTTTACTGGCTCAAAGACCGAATCGAACAAGGACAATTCTCAATCTACTGGCGCCCAGGAATCAACAATCGAGCCGATTACTTCACCAAGCATCACTCAGCCTCCCATCACAGAGCCGAACGCGACAACTATCTGCACAACAACAACAACAACAACAAGCCAGTCACAACGTAGCTCGTCAAGGCAATGCGCACTTAATAGTGTGAGGGTGTGTTGATCTGGAACTAGGACCCTTAAGTCTTTAGGTCCTGTCCCAGATCCCAGTCACTATTAATGCAAGCAAGCCCACTAGTAGCCCACCCTGCTTGCAATCCCAGAAGCAGGGTAGCCAA